GGTTAAAAATGATCCTATCTCACACCATTCTTCCATGTGCCTCAGTCACGACAAAACAAAGCTCATAGAATGATCTTGATATATACATCATAAGTGACGTGAGTGCTAGTAGGATATGAAGTCATTAGTTTGATTATTACCTAATAAAGGGTTCCGGTAAGAACCCTCTAATGAATCCCAAAGGGAGTCATAACCCTACTAGATCTGAACAACCTGATGTTTGGATTCAACAAACAAAAGTCTCCCTAGTTCAAATATCAACGAACAAAAAGACTATGTCCTGCCCTGTAAGTTCGATGTGGACAATCTAATCATTTTCATTAAAGTACTTTTCACATGTTACTTTTCTACTCCATTTGTAGGCCTGTGAAAGAGGAGTCATGATAAGCATTATTATTTTTTCATATAACCTGATCATGATGACATGTTTATTACTGTTTATTAAAATTACGATTGTTGATGTTACTTGGCATAGAAAAATTTCACATAGAGAACTATAATGCTCCTCTTGTTTAGAGAATCTCTAAACTAGTTTCATTACAGAGGTCTTTAACATGTCTTAATTACGATTCTTATTCTTCTCCATCATATTCTTTAATGAGCTGCCTATAACAATAAAAATCATCCCTATCTGGAAGCATAATTCCTTTTTGCACCAGAGTACTTAGAAAAGACTTCATCTTTCCTTCATAATGATCCACTAATAATTCTTCATACTCAGGCATTTGTTTAAGTTCTTAAGGGAATTCTTCCTTCATCTTCATTCCTGCAAGTTACTCCTTCAAAATTGTGACTTTGTCTTTTAGCTTCTTATTCAACTCACTATCCTCTTCAAACTTCATACAAGTCCTTTCAAAGGATGTAGACTTGTTGTCCATCTGTTTATTCTGCTCAACGTAGTGTTGAACTAAAAGTAATGCTGCTCGTTTATGATCTTTAAATTTCTTTACTAATAGCTCCAGTTGCTCCTTAACATCAGCTAACTTATCCTCGAGCATAAAGTTACAGGAGTATTTCTCCCTCATTTCATTGAGAAATTCGGCCTTCTCCTCTTCCTACTATTTTACATGTACTTGAGAGGAAGCGAGCAACTTTGCATCCTTTTTAGACATTATCCACATCTCATTTTTTTCCATTGGAAGAATCTATGACTTCTTTTCATCTTTGGAGAGAGATTGCTTTAACTTGGCATGTTATATGCAAAACTGGCATTGTGATACACACATGGTATACCACCATTGCCAAGCTATTGGCAAACTCTCCATCACTTAAGCGCGAAGCTGAGATCTTCCCGCCTTTTTAACCAACTCATTCAAGTTTACAGAATCAATAAATGGTCATAACTAAAGAAGCCTCCTAGAGTATTTCATCACACTCATATAATCCAAGCTCAAATCTACTATTGAGTGAGTTTGTGCCTCATTGAAGATGTGAACTACCGTGTCCAACTCTTCCTATGAAGGGCCAAGTGCAACTGCTCTCAAGGAGGTGACACCAACATCTACCTACTCCTTTACTTTCTTCTTCTTAAAGAAAGCTGCAACATGCACCTACTGCAACAAAAGATTTTCTTTGACTAAAGGCAATAGTTTGGGAACTCAAGGAACTAGGATCGGTTCCCTAATCATTATCACGACTTCTATTTTACGACTACCCTATTTCCTTGGATGCTTTGTGAGGGGAAGCTTGTCCTCCTTGTCTCCATCTACATCAATGACAGGTGTGTCAACAACTTTCACTTCACCTTATCCTATATTCATAGTTTCTAACGGGCTTAATGAATGAAGAGCCTCAACATCTTCCTCTGGAATGCTTGCTTGAAAAAGATCTTAATCTCTCAGCTCCATAGCAGGAGGTCGATGTGTCCTCCATGAAAAAAAAAACATAATTTCCAAAATAATTATAAGAAAATATTCAAATAATATCATCATGCAACCAAGATTAATATGTACCTTAAAAATCCACTATCACATATTATATTGTTGTAAATAATTTGACATCAAAGATTAGTATGTACCTTAAAAAGCGAGTTCATCTGACTATGTTCACTATGCTTAAATCTTCAAGTGAGTTTCTTCAGCCAAGCTTGCTCATATTTCTTTAGTTCTCTTTCTGTGCTCGTTTGGAGTAGTTGAACCTTCCAACCAAACTCATCAACAATGACATGTCTATACCACCGAGATTGATGAGTTGCTCTTTGAGGTAGAAGGAAGATAATTCCAGTCAGTAGGTACATATATTATCATTTATTAACAACATGACCGTCCACACCAGCGGTCTTGCCAATAGTGAGTCTGCTAAGGCTCTGTGCTATAAAATCTACAACCTAGTTTTATATTTCATTATTTAGACTCTTATCCACGTACATAAGCTCTATAGCATATAAATAAGAAGAAAAAGGAAAGAGGGGTACCAGATGATGGACCCTAAAAAAACTCTCTTTCTAAGAGAATCCTTCAACTTCTTCCCAAATCTTTCACAATATCTCTTGTACGAGTTCACGAATTATACAGAATCCCACGTTTCAAAAGAATTCAACAATATCACATAGTGAAATTAAATTAAAGAGAATGAAATACAAGAGATACATGACCTAAGAAGAAACAAATTGCTCATATCGACCACTAATGTCTACAAATATGTCTTCGTAGAATAATTACATTGTCAAGCGTTTGATAGTCAGGGGTGAAAATCACCATCTCATGTCTTTGAAAAATAAATATGTTACAATAAAATATAATACTTTAACGATATTTGACATTTATAATGTTTCGCCACTAGCAATTCATTTAATTTTTTTTTATACCACCTGCTTTGTCATGAATCTCAAATTTGTATTATCACAACAATCATTGCATAAAGCAAATAAAAGTAGGTATGGTTCTTAATTTATAGCATTCTTGTAATTATTTAATTTATGTTAATCAAATACAGTTAAACATTGATGTAATATATATACAAGTCATTGGTCAAAAGTTCTTTCTCTCTCACTTTACAACACAATCACAGCTAATGAAATTGCCAATTTTGACAAAAGAAGACTCATTTAGAGACATTTTTATGGCAAATATGATTTTTTTTTTTTTTGCATTAACAATAATGCATTTATGCATTAACAATAATGCATTTATATTAACAATAATGCATTTATTTTAAGAAAATGTCACTATTACATTGAATAAAGATCACCAAAAGGATTAAAATATTTTTCATAAAAATTTTCACAACATTAAAAAAAATTGTACTTTTTGAATTGAGCAAATATTAAATGGAGATCTTGCAAGTAGCAAGTGCTCAAATTCATCATACTGAATTAGAAAATTGAACAAATTTGAGGGGGGGTGGTGATATTTGCTTCACTCAATGGCAGTATTTGAAACAAGATGTGGCATAAAGTACATGTTGTGGCTGGACATGATAAAGAAGTTTTTGAAACTATTTTATGGTTTTTTGAGAGGCAAGTACAAAAAGTTTTCCTTAGATTTCATTCATGAGAGGCATTTCTGAGAGTTGTTCTCGAGAATATCATTTGAAGTTTTCTTATGAAATAATGATGTTAGTGATGCTTTAAATCCGATACGCCGTCAACATATTCTCATCATCCAGAGCAAATCTCGAGGCAATATATTGTTCTCGAGATGATCTTTTGCGCAATAAATATTTAAATCTTGATAGAAAGTCATTTAGAGCTTCGATTTAAGCAAACTTATAGTCAAACTGATAGGCTCGATGAACCCAAAGATATCAAAATTAGTCTAATCCAAGTCAAATCAAGCCAAGATCAAGTCATTAAACTATACTTGAAAGTTTTCAGGCATATTTTGAAGGTCAAATGAATGTCAAATCTAACAAGCATATAGTCGAATCAAGTGCCTCGACAAGTCGAATCCAATAAGCCAAAGATTGCTCAATTCCGACATTGTTTGAAGTTTAAAGTTCTGTTTAAAGTCAAAACAATTCCGACATTGGTGTTTCATTAGACATTTTTTAAAAATGTATGAAAAATAAATAAGTTTATTAGTAGTAAAATAGTAAGTTGTATTTTCAGATATATACATGAAACGAATCAGTGTGTGTGTGTGTGGCCAAGGAATAGAGTGTGCATAAGATGGGAGTAAAAGAGAGAAATAAAAAGAAATGATTATCAAAAATGAATTTTTTATTAGCCTTTTCTAAAGAAATGATATCCCTATCTATAAGAGAGGGGAGGTAAAATGTTTGTATTTACCTACAAAATATTTTTGATATTTTACAAGTGTAAGTTTAGATATGTCGGTTACCCTACTACTCCACTGGCTAGGACCCACGGCCTTGGCGAGTTTCGGTCGTCCGACTATGATGGGTTAGGATTGTCGGTCGACTTCTAATGGCCTTCGAGTCGGACAGTCTTGACTTGGTCGGTTTAATTCTGACGATCAACTTCTCTGATCTGACTATTGACTATCGATCTCTATGTGAAAAACTTTTATCGACGGGATGAGACAACGTCATTGATGTCTTCTCTCGGATTGATTGATCTTAGTTTTCTGTTCAAATGGTCGGCATTTGGCCAGCTTTGGGACTAGGTTTTGGAGGGTCGTACTTGGTCATACAAGTCCTTTAATTTTTTGCTAAAGAATCTTTTAATCTCCCGTCGATGATGCATCCTTTGGTCTTCTGACGGTGGGCCTTATAACCCCAGTCATCTATATTAATCCAAACTGACTGAAATTATCACATAGGTCAAGCCATAGAAGTAAGCTAAGCCATGATGTAATATGTATCCAACATACAAATAATTAATATTTTCTTTTATTATTTGCATATTAATTTTTTTTCAGTTCAAGGCTTCGAGCAAAGTCACTAAACCAAGCCTTCATTGTCATCTTATGATTGTAGAGAATTTTTAGTCCATATACTCCTAATCTAAATAAAATATTAAATGGATTTAACACAATCAAAGCATAATTTTTGTTGACGAAAAAGTTCACAAAACTGCATCAATCAAAATAGAACCGTGTTTATTTTTTAATCTATGAAGTTCTTACAAATGTTTTCTGCTTCAAACTTCAATATGCTTCACACAAATGATGCATCACTTATTTTCATAGAGATAATGTTGATATGTAGTCTCCGAAAATCAAAACCAACATTCAAAGATGAGACAACACATTCATCATAGCGTCTCGTGGCCTGCACAAGGCCTCAAGAGGATTTGCTTTAGGCATGGTCAATCCCGCTCCTTCTCTCAAGTCTATCTCCTGCGGGGTAACCCTTTTCCACTCAAAGCACTGAATCAAAGTTCCAAGCACCAGGCCCATCTCTTTCATCGCAAGACTTTCCCCTGGGCATTTTCTTCTTCCCATGCCAAATGATAACATGTCACCCACTTTGCCAACATCTACGTCTTCAAATCTTTCTGGAAGAAAATTGTTCGGCTCTGGCCATTTCTTAGGATCCCTATGGATTGCATATGCATTCACTAAAAGCATGGTGCCCTGTGGTATGTGGTAGCCTCCCACCGTGCAGTCTTCACGAGACTCATGAGGTACAAGCAGAGGCCCTGCAGGGTACAACCGTAGGGTTTCTTTGATGATACACTTGAGGTAGGAAAGGTTGATAAGGTCAGCTTCCTCAATCAAACGTTCATGTCCCACTTTCTCATCAATCTCTCGTGTGGCCCTCAGAAGCTTCAAGGGATTGTTTAGTAAAAGTGTCAATGCCCATTCGATAGTATTTGATGAAGTATCTGTGCCACCAGACAACAAATTCTGCAATAGAAATAGAAAAAAAAAAACATTATGGAGAAAATCAAAAAATAAAATAAGATTTGAAAATGTTCTCCCACGATCTAATTAATATTATTGTTATGATTCCGAGATTAATTAAACGGAAACATAATCATTAATTTGAGTTATAATCACTAATGATCAAAATAACTATGATTAAAAATATGACTTTTGCCTCTATTTTGATCCTCGAATCCCAAATGATTTAGACAAATATGTCCATATAACTAATAACAAAAATGAATCTTTATTATATATAATGCTACATAAAGATCTGAGATGCAAGTTCTAATTATAAAAAAAAGAACTTGATCAAAAAGTAAAATTCATGTCAAGGGACTCACCGTAATCATGGCTTTGAGAAAACGATCGGTGTACTGCTCCGGCTGCTCCCTCTGCAGCGCCAACAACACATCAACCATATTCCTATGGTTCCCATCCTCCTCCCCCTCATTTTTCCTCCTCCCTTCCTCCAAAACAGACTGCAGAAAATCATCCTTACTCTCATGAATCCATCCCAGCCTTCCCTTCAACCTTCGCCCCACCAACCACCTGATCCCCACCGGCAAGAAATCTCCAACATTTGACGCACCAGACAGCGCAAATGCCTCCTGCACCGCAGCCTTAAACCTCATAACCTTCTCGTTCATGTCCGCACCCTCTCCATAATATCTCTTCCCATCCACCATTCCCATAATCACATTCATCGCCAACCCGAAAAGCCTCGTCTTCAGCTCCACCATCCTGAATTCCTCCCCCTTCATGTCGTTCAACAGATTTCGGACCAAAGCTCGCGCTTCCTCCGCCCGAACTCCCGAAAAGAAAGCGAGGCGCTGAGCAGAGAAGACTTCCACGGTGGCAATGCGGCGCATGCTGCGCCACCCCTGGCCGTAAGAGGCGTATGCGAGGGCTGTGTGGTTGTAAGTGGTGAGATTCGTGGAGGGAAATTTTGGGCGGTTGGCGAAGGCCATGTCGTTGGTGGTGAAGCACTCCTCGGCGAGGGAGTAGGAGGAAACGACGACGGTGGGGCGGATGCCGAAGTGGATGAAGAGGAGCGGGCCGTGTCGGGCAGAGAGTCGGGCCAGGGAATGGTGGAGAGGTTTTTTGAGAAGGTGGAGGTGGCCGATGATGGGAAGAGAGCGAGGGCTTGGTGGAAGATTCTGACGCTTTTGTTTCTTGTTTCTTGTGGAGAAGAAGAGTTTTGATAGGCGGAGGGAAATGAAGAGGGCCAGACAGGTGAAGAAGATGAAGTTCGAGTACTCCATGTTTTTTATTGGCTGTGGAAGAATGGAGATCTTCGTGGTATTTATAGCTAGATTGACGGGGGGGGGGGGGGGGGGGCTGGAGTAAGGGAGTAATCGGGGAATAATCAGAGAAGTCGGCTCGAGTTCAACCTGATGAATGACTCGTGAACTGAGTATGATGTGGTAATAAGCGAAGCTTAATGTCACGGACAACAAGTCTCACATCGGCTAAGTGTAAAATCGAAAAGCAGTATTTAAGTCTTAGGATGTCCTCCTCTCTTAAGAGCACTTTTGAGAGGTGAAAAGTGTTATAAGAGAAATTTACTATCTATCTGGTGTGTGGACTCTCCATTGTTCAGTGGGACCCCCTGAGGAGTCGATTCGTAACGAGGGTGTCACATGATTGGGTGGATGAGAATGTCACAGACAAAAACTCTCACATCGGCTAGGTGTAGGGCCGAAGAACAATATTAAGTCCTGGGCTGCTCTCATCTCTTAAGAACTCTTTTGGGATGTGAAATTAAGCTAACTTCGACTCGACTTGTTTGCGTGTGAGTTTGACTTGTTCAAAAAATAAATGATATAAAATACACTCAAAATATAATGACTCAAACTTTTATCATTAAATTATTGAAAAGTGTGAAGAATAATATTTTACATATATTATCAAGTGGATACTTATTATTTATCATCTAATTACTTTTTTATCTTTTTAATGTAACACTAACTTAAATTAATATATTTTTCTTATTCCGGTAGAGCTAAGCTCGAGGTTGAGCACAAATTTGATCAAATTAATCAAGCACAAGTTGACAGTGGCTCGAGCTCCACTCGACTCATTTACACGCCCATATTACTATTGAAGTTTTTAAGTATAAAATATTAAAATATTTAAAATTTTATTTTATTTTTGTACACCGAGCTATTTTTATTTGTCTTCTTATATGATTTTTTTATTGCTTTTTTACCAAATATTTTTAATCAAAATTATTTTTTTATTATGAATAATAAATAAGTTGGCTCATGAATAAACCGAGGTCAAACTTGAATCTGGCTCAAACTCATGTGGGACTAGTCCGAGTTTGACTCGGCTGATTTAAAACAACAGTTGAAAGAGACATATATAATATGTGTATGTTATCTTTGATTAGGTTTCCTGATATTACTATTTATTTTATATTGAACCAATATAGAAAGTATTGGTTGAATTCGTCTATTCACGATTTTAAAAAGAAAAATTAAAATATATTTATTTCTAAATTTTTTAATATAACGATTGAAATTACAATGCATACTTCTGGTAGGTATATTCGTATATTCAAGTTTATACTCTGTTTAATTCAAACTATTTGGTGTTGCGAGAAGATATATAGGAGAATGATCTTCGAAGAAATGAAAAAATAGAACGAGAAAAATTTACACCAGAAAAGAACACACAGATTTACATGATTCGACATATTGTCTGGGTCCACAGAGTTGCAAAGGATTTTACTACTTGAGGAATTTACATCAGTCGATCACCTGACTTACAAGAGAAATCTCTCACTTCATTGCTATCTCTTCTCCTCTCTCTATTATTCTCTCTCTACATCGAGATACATCAAAGAAACTCTACACCGAGATACACCGAAGAAGACAAACTTACAAGAGAAATAAAAACTAATTTTTCTTCTGCCACAAGCCACCAAGAAGAAGCCAAAGGAGAACAATCTTCTTCTTCTTCTTTCTTCTTCCTTCACCGCAAGGAACTACCTCTTGCACTTCTCTTCTTTTTATCCTGAGGAAGCCCGAAGAAAAACACCAACCGTGACTTCGAAACCCAAAGAGAGCCATCCGAAACCTTTTATCGCGAACAGGAAGCTTCGGGATGAAAGGATGCAGCGTTTCACGAAATGGAGGCGGGAACATCGGTTATCGTGAAACCGCAAGTCACGGTCGCGACCTTTCGCGATCGGGAGAGCGGGAGCAGGAGTTGGCGCCATTTTGCGAAACATAGAAGACAAGAGGAGCGCGGCCTCCAACGCTAATATTTGGAGTTTTTTAAAACAGGATATATATGTAAATAAGATTTACTTGATCTCAAAAAACAAGGGGGACAATTACAAACTGAATACACGAACTATTGCTATTTATGAATCAAATCACATTACATGAAGATAAATGCAGGCAAAGGCTACGACTTTCAGCGAGCCTTCGCCTCTTTAAAAATGTGTTTTTTAATTAATACAGACACTCCTACTGAATGAGATAAAACTCAATCTCTAAAATTATAGTCCTATTGTATGATATAGGGTAAATCATTATAATCAAATGAGATAATCATTCTCTGGATATAGAACGGCCATATGTTAACAATCATTGAATTAGTACAACATGGGGAGAGCAATTGGCCAAAAGGACATATATAGGAAAAGCCTAATCAAAATTGAATTTTGTGGAACAATTATTTTTTTAGATTATCATGCTCAATATGATGGACAAATTTGCAAAACTAGCATTTAGGTAAATTACATTGATGATTCTTATATTGAATAAATAATAGTTATTTTCAAATATGCTCTCCCTGTTAATGAGAAGACTGGTGTTCTACATTGACTTCTAATCGTCCGTTAAATGAAAGAAAGTATTACTTCCGGAGTCCAGAAGCAAACTGCGTCCCGACGACAGACCCGATGCGCTGCATCTTACGTCCGGACTACGGACGCAATATGTTTTCGATAAACGAACAATTACGGCCATTATTATTATTATATTTTAGTTTTTTTCCATAGAACAGCAAGTTCCCATCAAACTAATAAAACAATAGAATGAATGGATAGTACCACTTGGTTGGAACAATAATTTAAAAATTACAGTTCAAACCAGACAGATTTTTAAATTAGAATTCACAGCACCTAAACTGCATTCTTTTTGTTTCCGGTAGAGATTAATGTGTGTATGCATATCTCCTATCTTTTGTTTAATTATGTTGACATTTATATTTTTTTAGAATATTTATTTTATTATCTGATACAATGGAATAACAAGTACTAACAATTGTGTTGACATTTAATTATAGTTGACATTTAATTATCATTGATTCAAATATATTTCCTTTAATCCAAAAAACTTTGTAATTGATTATAGAATACAATTTTCAAGTGCAAATTTGTCGGAAAGAAGGAAAGAACCATTTTAATCACACCATTCTTCTACCTTTAATTATCATTGTTAACAATTCTTCTTAAATAGGTTTTTTTTTCTTATTTCCTTTCCCAAACATCTATAATCTGAATTTTGGAGCTTCTTTCACCAGCAAGCTCCAGCATGTCATGTTCTCTATCTGATTTCTCTAGCTATGACCTCAAACATGAGATCCGTTCATGAGCACTTTCTCACATCCCAAAACTCCATCGCTAAGGAGCTCATGTTTTCCCTGACAGCATCCTCATTCTGTTGTAAGTTTATCGTGTTCATTGCACCTAATTCAAAAAATCCATATTTGTCATAATACCAAGAACATTGTCATGCTAAGTCTTACTTCACCTCAAAAAATTATTGCAAAAATTAGTTAAGAAATCACTCTTAAGCCATTAATGAAGATGACTAAGGAAAAACTTACCAAAAATGATAAAGCTGAATTAAACAAAAAGGAAGATTTACATACATACCAATTAATGTACAAAGTATAATTTAGGTTTTAGATATGTAAATACTTAAGAATTTTGTTGTATGTATCTAAATGCCAGAAAAAATAGATAAATAAAAAATCAGAACTTGTATTTGACTTCTAGAGAACAACTTGAAAAATTTCAGGAATTGAATCAAATTGTGCAAACCACCAAAGCCCCACTAAAGACTTCAAATGTAGAGCAAGACATATGAAGCAACCATATGCTAAGGACTACATTAGTACATATGTTAGCTTACAAACGATCATACTTCAAAATAGTTGGGCACCTTCGCAAGTCATTAATTTTAAAAATAACAACGGTACTCCCATAATAATAACACGGTAGTTATAACCACAACATTGATTGAAATTAATATTTTGATAAGAAATTTGACATAGTCAAGGTTTTTCTTGATTATGACATCTTTTGTTGATATTTCTATATTACTGTCATTAAATATTTTATCACACTTTATCCATCCAATTGAAATAATTACAATCATGCTCTGAGCCATTTTTTAGGCGAAGGTAAAACTTTCTTCCATTGCTTCTATCTTTATAAGATGTATACATTGTATACAATCAGTTAAATTTACAGTAAATTCTTTGATTATTAATTTCTTATGATGTTGATGAATGACATGAGCTCATACTTGTTATCGTTCTATTAGAAATGAGAAAAAAAAAATTATGTAATATATATATATATATATATATATAAGATATATGAGATCTATTTGGTTTCATTTTTCAAAATCAAAATTATATATATATATATATATATATATAATAGCATATTTATGAAAAAGTATAAATATATATGATTTTAAATAATTATATAAATCGTATCTCCATGTCCAACTACAAAAAATAGAAATATGTAAAAATTAATATGGAAGTTAAATTTCATAGATGAAAACACACATTTTACTTAATTTCATGTTATGTATGTAAATATATAAGAATTGTGTGGACTAACTTGAAAAAACAAATAACAAAAATAAAATATTGGTTTCTCAAATGAAAGCTTTATTTTCAAGGTTTTTTGCAAATAAATATCTATAAAAGTGACAAGTGTAAGTTTGCTAACTATGAAGGGAAGAAAAGCCAGCATGCAACTACTCAAGAGAAAAAGAAGACTTCAAAACTATGTTATCTCAACCAAATTCAAAATATATACTCTAAATTCTTAATTAAATTATTTGCAACTAAGGGAAAAAGTATTAAACTAATGTTTGGGACACTTTCGTTGTAGTAAAGCATATGTTCTATGTGTATAGTCATCCAGAGAATGTAATGGGCAATCACATAATTGATATGTGGCTTCAACTTCTTAAATTAGCTCATGAAAATGATGTTGCATATATGT